TCCAGCTTTTTCTGTGTATGTGGTACTAAGGAATCAAACCTAGGGCTTCATGCATGCTAGGCAAGTACTCTATTACTAAACTACATTCCCAGCCCTTATGGAGGATTTTTTTAATGAGCTTAAGCAGTTTCATCAGACACACCTCAGTTGCTTTCCCCTGTTGCCCCTGTGTCCTGCATTTTCTCTACTTCTTCATGACCCAGGAGATACTCTGTATTACCGATTCACCTCTGACATGAGCAACACTGAGTGGGGCTACAAATTCACTGTGACAGCCGGACACCTAGGACGGTTCCAAACAGGTGTGTACTCTGCCCTTTCTGTTTACACAATTTGCCCAATGAAGCACTGTGCTATAGATGCCATTGTGTCACTCATCTTGGTGAAAATCAAGCATTTTCTCTAAAGCTTCCCACATGTGTCTCACAAACCCCTCACCTTAGTCTGAAGTATGGTTGGCTAATTGTAAACTTGAATGGTTAGATAAAAGAGCTATCCATCATGGCCTGAAAAGGGTTGCATGTTTCTCTTAAAATTTGCTACGGTATTTTTCAAAAATAGGAAAATGAGAATGTTTTTCCTGTGTTATTTTTACAAGAGGCTTAGTTTCAGCCAGAATTTAAATGATCACAATTATTTTATCCTACTTGCTAAAATTTGAACAATTAAAACTGTATAATTATCGATAAGCACAATTGTTAGACCTGTTTTTAAAATATCTGTCTTTTGTGGGTTGGGTTGGCTAGGATTCGAGATTTTGAAGCAGATGTTATCAGAAGAAAGGGTTGTGCCTCACCTCCCATTGGCCAAAATTTGGGAATGGCTGGTGGGCGTAGCCTGCCGCCAGACTGGTCATCAGAGACTAAAGGCCATCCATTTACTGCTGAGAATTGTGCGATGCTGCACACACAGGTAGGTTGTGTCCTGTGTCTGAGTCCTACATCAAGTAGGTGGTAGCAGTGGTCTTTTTCCACCCAGTTCACAGTTTATGATGTCAGATGAGAAGACAGTTAATTTTGTTTTTGTTGGTTGTGAGGCTTAAACTCAGCCTGGGCACTGTCTCTGAGCTCTTTTGCTCAAGGCTAGTGCCTTACCACTTTGAGCCACAGCTCTAGTTCCAGTTCTCTAGTGGTTAATTGGAGATTAAGATTCTCACAGATTCTCCTGCCTGGGCTGGTTTTAAATCAAGATCCTCAGATCTCAGCCTCCTTAGTAGCTAGGATTACAGGCATGAGCCACCAGCACCCAGGAACAGTTGTAATTTTAATGTTTTCCAGTTCATCATTTTCTTTATGTTAATGCTTTTTGTATCCTGTTTAAACAATTTTGAAAGTTATGAAGATATCTCCTATGTTAGCTTTAAGAAATTTGTTTTTCCTTTTACACTTAATTCTATAATCTACCCAAGATGAATTTAGTGTATCTTATGAAGTAAAGGACCAGTTAGTTTTCCCTTTGGATCTCTACTGTTTCCCTTACCACTCTCACAACAGCTGTCCATATGTGTATATGAGTTTGTCTTGGTTCCTTTTTTTCCTTTGGTCTTTTGGTGATCCTTGTGCAACATCATACTGCCTTAAAGATTTTAGTTTTAGGGCTGGGAAGGTAGCTCAGTGGTAGAGTGCTTGCCTTGCATGCCTGAGGCCCTGGGTTCGATTCCTCAGCACCACATAAGAAAAAAGCCGGAGAGTGCTGTGGCTCAAGTGGTAGGGTGCTAGCCTTGAGCTGAAGAGCTGAGGGACAGAGCTGAGCCCAGGCCGGACCCAAAAAAAAAAACAAAAAACAAAGATTTTAGTTTTAGCCAGGCACTGGTGGCTCATGCCTATAATCCTAGCTACTCAGGAGGCTGAGATCTAAGGATTACAGTTCTAAGCCAGACCAGATAGAAAAGTTCCTGTTAGGGACTAGGAATGTGGCTTAGCGGTAGAGTGCTTGCCTAAGAAGTGGCACAAGTGGTAGAACACTCGTCTTGAGCTGAATAGCTCAGGGACAGCGCCCAAGCCCAGAGTTCAAGCCCCACAACTAACAAAAAATAAAAAGAAAGAAAGAAAGAAAGAATGAGCAATGGAAGCCCTCTTTCCAGACTGCTTCTATAATCAGAAGTGGCGCTGTGGCTCAAGTGGTAGAGTGCTCCCCTTGAACTGAAGAGCTTAGAGATAGCACCCAGGCCCAGAGTTCAGGCCTCATGACTGACCAAAAAAAGTGCTTGCTTAACATGCATGAAGCCCTGGGTTCAATTCCTCAGTATGACATAAAAAGGAAAAGCCGGAAGTAACGCTGTGGCTCAAGTAGTAGAGTGTTAGCCTTTAACACAGAGAGGCTCAAGGACAGTGCCCAGGCCCTGAGTTCAAGCTCCAGGACCAGAAAAAAATAAAAAAAGTTCCTGATGCATGCCAGAGATGAAGGTGTAACTCAAGTAGTAGAGTGCCAGCTCTAAGCAAGAGCAGTGAGGCCCTACTACTAGCACAAACAGAAAAGACTGTAGTTTATTACAGATTTATATATGTAATCATCTAATTATATAAATCTTTCAGCTTACTTGTTCACCTTGGAGACCATCTTGTTTTGTTTTGAGGTAGGGTCTTCATGTATAGTCAGTCTTCAGATCTCAGCTCCTAAGTAGTTAGGAATATAGGTATAGGCCACAGTTCGTGGCTCTTTCCTGAATTTTTAAGGCATATACACAGAATGGTAATCAAAGTAGGATGGACAAAATAAAAAGTTACCTTCTTGGGCTGAAGGTATGGCTGAAGCAGTAAAGTACCTGCCTATCAAACATGAAGCCCTAGTTTTAAGTTGGAATCTTTAACCCATATTTCCTACATGGGACAAGGAACTGTTTCTCTTTTTCCATTTCTCCCTACTGTTATACTAAAATCCATCTTTGCTAAAAATTTAAAAAAATTTAAAAAGTAATCTCATATAATATGGAATTGCTCTTAAAAATAAAGGGCTTAGGGCTGGGAAGGTGGCTCAGTGGTAGAGTGCTTGCCTTGCGTGGATGAGGCCCTAGGTTCGATTCCACATAAGCAGAAAGAGCCGGAAGTGGCACTGTAGCTCAAGTAGTAGAGTGCTAGCCTTGAGCTGAAGAGTTGAGAGACAGAGTTCAGGCCGTTTGACCAACAAAAATAAATATATAAGTAAGTAAGTAAAGGGCTTAGCCAGACACAGTGGCTCTTGTCTGTAATCCTAGCTACTCAAGAAGCTGAGATCTGAGGACCATAGTTCAAAGTCAGCTGGGGCACGAAAGTCCATGAAACTTATCTCCAATTAACTACCAAAAAGCCAAAAGTGGAGCTGGTTCTAATGATAGAAGGTTAGCTTTGAGCAAAAAAGCTCAGGGAGGGCTGGGATGTAACTCAGTGGCAAAGCGCTTGCCTAGCAAGTGCAACGTCCTGGGTTCGATCCCCAGTACCAAAAAAGAAAAGACAAAAAAAATACAGTTAAAAAAAAAAAAGCTCAGGGACAGCTTCAAGCCCCAGCTCCAGCACAAAATAAAGAAGTAAAAGAAAGGATTATTCCAGTCAGGAAGAGAATGTGATGGCTGTAAAAATCAGCCCCTAGCTGGAAACAGGGCAGGGAGAGGCACTCTACCATTAAGCCACCTTCCCAGTAATTTCTATGAACATACTTCAGGTCCTTTAGGTTCCTTAAGAGTTAGCTTTGAAGTTTAGGCTCTACTCTCTCCTTGCTGTTGGGGGGGGGGTGAGAGAGAGGAGAGAGAGAGAGTGTGTGTGTGTTGGTCCTGGGCTTGAACTCAGGGTCTGAGTATTATCTATCCCTAAGCTTTCTTGGTTCAAGACTAGTGCTCTACCACTTGAGCCACAGCCTCACTTCTAGTTTTATTGGTTCTTAATTGATTGGAGATAATCTCATGAACTTTCTTGCCTAGGCTGGCTTTGAATGACAATCCTCAGAAATCAGCCTCCTGAGTAGTAGCTAGGATTACAGGTGTGAAGCACCAACATAGTCTTGGGGGCTGTTTTATGATGGCTGTTCTGGACAGGGAGGATGTGAGGAGCTTTGATGGCTACCCTGGTCCTTAGTAAGCTGACCTATCCTGGACTCCTCCCACAGTGACCTTTGTGACCTGGCACTGTTGAAGCCGCTGTGGCTGCTGTTTACCCACATGGAGTACAGCCTGTTTGAGGACGTGACACAGCCTGGCATCCTGCTCCCCCTGCATCGGGCCCTCACTGAGCTTTTTTTTGTCACCGAGAACCGTGCCCAGGTGAAGTCACTATCCATCTCTCAATCCAAGTTTGGGTGGGAAGGATGGTGCCACCATGTGCTTTTGCCCTTGCTGCCCAGGACAGGACTTGGGTCATAGCTTAGTCTAGAGCCCTGGTGTCTGGACAAGCTAGGTCTACAAGCTTGCCCTCCTGTCAGCCCTGGGAATCCCTCAGGCTAATACAAAACTTGCTTATTTTGTCAGGCCTAAAGCCAAAGTGGGGAGAAAACCACCTTAGACCAGCCCTAGACCAGAGAAAGCTTTGGAAAATCAAATGGATGGTTCCTCTTCCTTCTCCTTTGTATTCCTCTCAGCACAATAGACTCATTGAGCATGTAAGATGAAAGAGACCTTTCACAGATCTTTCGGTTTATCCTCCTCAGTCAAACCAGAGCAGACTAGCCTTAGGAGAGGGGTCCTCCCTTCTACCCTGTGGTTGGCCAGAGCAGTGTCAGCCCTCAGGCTCTTTTATAGCTCTAGAATGAGTGGGGCCAAGAAGGCCAGGTAGGCAGGTCTTGCTTATCCCTTAGATGGTTCCCTTTTCCCAGGTCTGCCAGCATCCTTTGCTCATAGAACTGGTGTTCTCTCCACAGGAGCTTGGCTTGCTGCAGGAGTACCTGCTAGCCTTAACCACTGATGACCACCTTCTTCGCTGTGCAGCCCAGGTAACCCACTCACATCTGCAGAGCTGGCCACCTGGGCCATCTTGTAGCAGGTGTTGTATGGGAATTCAGTCAACAAGAAACAAGCCACATTTTTGAGAGGTTGAATTGGAAGTCTTTATTGGAGAGTCAGTATCTGCAGGTAGACTCCTATCTCAAAGACCTGCAGCCCCTACCAGAGCTTGAACCAAGCTTTTAAAGACAAAAATCACATGCTTGGGGTAAAGACCAAGCTCTAGCAAAAGCAGACCTTATATAGGAAGACTCAGGTGAAAGCAGAACTTTCCATCTAAGGGAGTAGCTCAGGGGTCAGCTTAAACTTTCCATATAGGGAATACACCTCCAACTCAAACCATTTAGGGGAAACTGAAAGCTCTCCTGAGGCTAAAGAGCATGACATCTATAATTCAGTGAATGGCCTCTCTCACCTCTAGGCCTCTGAAGAGCTGAGTAGAAAGCCCCTTCCACCCAGCAAGGCACCAGGATGGCCAGAAGGACCAGGCATATTGCTTAGACCCAGTCTCCTTACTTCACAGGCAGCAGCATCTTGCTGTTGCCAGGACAGTGTGTGTTGCTTGATGAATACAGACCCTCTCAGAGATTACAGAGCCCAGTTCCAATTCACTCACTTCCTTCTGGTGCTCAGAGAGCCGGCGAGCTCCATTTATAACACGGTCACTCATATTAAATTGTAGGGGCAGAAGACGCAAGAATTTGTGTCTTTAAAACCAAAGCAACCAGTGTCTTAAATTTAGTTTGGCTGATCTCTAAAGTTTCCATAGAGTTACACTTCAGATATTTTTGGATGTTACTGCTTGGTTGGAAAACTCCTTTTCTGACAGCTGTTTGGTCTCAGGGCCTGTCACACTTTTATATTATCAAGGATCTAAGAGAGCTTTTGGTCTTGTGCATTATCTACCTCAGTAAGTACCATTAGAAAGTTCTAGATTTCAAATACAGAAATTAAAATAAGAAACTAAAAAGGCTTAACCATTTATCAATTCATTTTCAAAAGTAAACACATTTCATCTTTTTGGTTTTTTTTTTGGGGGGGGGTCCTAAACTCTGGGCCTGGGCGCTGTCTCTACCACTTGAGCCACAGCGCCACTTCTGGCTTTTTTTTCTTTTTGCTTATGTGGTGCTAAGGAATCGAACCCAGGGCCTCAGGCATGCAAGGCAAGCGCTCTACCACTGAGCCACCTTCCCAGCCTTAACATCTTAACATGTTTTGTGAAAAAAAAAAAAACTTTTTTCAAAACAAACTACTGAGTGTAGTGGCCCTGAGTCCCATTTTGTCAGCTTTCTATTGTTTGATTCAGTGGAAGGTATCTGGATCCTCATGTGTGCCCCTACTCTCACGTGTGCTACCACACTGGCTCCACAGAGCTCCCCAGGCACTTGGGAGACAGGTACAGTGAAACGCAAATCTGTAATGTATTGTCCCAGGTGTCCTTTGGTGAATCTTGGATTCACAGACTCTGAGTACTGTGGTGTCTACTTAACCCCCACAGAAGATGGGGACATGGAGGCCTTGCATGGGCATCCAGCTGGGACATCTCCACAGGGCAGGGCTTCTGTCTGTGGAAAGTTCTGAGTACACAGTGTCCCTGGAAGACAGGGCCTCCAGTCCTGGGTTAGGAGCATCAGCTCAGAAGTGGGATTCCCCAAGCAAAGACAGAGGAGCCTGCAGAAAGCCGAGACCTGTATAGACTGCTTGAACACTCACTGCCCCACTAACAGCCTCCTGCTAGCACTGCTGTTACCTCCCCGGGTTTCATTGATGTTTGACAACTCTTGGCACTGGGAATCAACATAGCAGCTTTCCCATGGGCTTGACCTCCATGCCTGTTCCCAGGTCCAGTTTCCCTTTCCACTAACTGCTTCAGTCTATCTGTATCATTCCCCAACATTCCTCTACCTGGTGTCCTCCTTTCTCCCACTCCCTCTGCTCAGCCTGCCTTCCAAGGTCCCTACTTTCCTACCACTACTTCCGTCTCCTGTTTGTGCTATAATCTCCCTCTGCACCTAAAAAACTTTCCCAGAGCCCCCAGCAGATAGTGTTCCCTATTTCCCAGCATGACACTGCTGTGGGCACTGATGATTTATACCTCACCTCTGAGGTTTTCCTATGGTTTAGCTAGCTGGCATCTCTCATCTCTGTTCTGTGGTTCTCCAGGTGAGGGTCTGCATGTAGCTTCCTTCAGAGCTCCATCCCTGCTCCCTCAGTGCTCAGCAGAGGGTCTTGTTCACTGGTGTGTGAGTGAGTGAATAGCGCTTGATGCTGGCTGTTCTCTTCCACAGGCTCTGCAGAATGTTGCTGCCATCAGCCTGGCCATCAACTACCCAAACAAGGCCACCCACCTCTGGAATGTCGAGTGTTAACCTCACTGTGGCTGTGACGTTCATGGACTTGATAATCTGTCCACAGGGGTTCAAAGCTAGACCTCCAGCCTCACTGAGAAAAAAATTCCTGCGGCTTCAGTGCCCAGCTCTATTTGAGCTCACTCCTGTTCTCATCCTATGCCAAGCACTGTGTCTCTAAGAACTCGTGCACAGGCTTATCATGTATGGATTGTCACACATGAGAAAAAGCAAAGTGCAGAATGACTCAGAAAGGACCTGCAGGAGGCATTTGGAAAACTTGCTCAGAGACTAGCCTCTTCCAGGGTCGCCCCTATGAAGCAACAGTGCAGAAGACCTGGAAGCAGCCTTGCTGGAAGGTTCTGTCTCCTCTAAGCTAGAGATGCCTGTACTTTCTGTCAGTGGGTAGTGTGGAGGAAGGAACCACCTGCCAGAAGCCACTCTGGCAATGAGAGGCACAGCCACAGTGGGCTGGCTGGGGGGTGGGAGAGACTATACCTTTGCTTTAAATTTGTGAGATTAGGAAATCCAAACCAAACCACAGCCAGTGCAACCCCTCCTGGCCAGCACCAGCCCCTCTGCATTCAGAATGGGACACATACCAGCTAGCTCCCTGAGTGCCCAGCCATCCTGGAGAATGCCTCATGGGAGCAAGTGCCCGCTGGGCACAGCCAGCGGGCCACCCTGCACGCCCACCCACACTGTGCTCCGGGAACAGTAGTGATTTCTTTCAGTTGTTTTAACATGTGTTGGTTTCCACCTCCTGCTTTTAAAAGAGAAGCACACTCTCTGAGTGGGCCTCCAGGGAATGCCAGGGACAAGCTGATGAGTGAAAGCAGTGGAGCTGGAAGAACTTTGCAGCATCAGCACCTGCAATATCAGGCTCTCCAAAAAGATTTCACTTTAAGAGGAAACACCTACCTGGCTTTATTTCTGCTTAAAGGGTGGTCCTTCCCACCCATCACCCTAGGTAGACCTGACTGTCATCTTCTAGCAATAATGATATAAGTTCTAGTAGATGCTGTTTCATATTTTTCTGTGTGACTTTAGCCTCATCGTCCACTTTCTAGAGCCATGTGTTAGCATGTGAGATAGGGTTGTCATGTGGGCCACGGCCAGCTCAGTGGGAACTCATGAGAACAAAGATGCCTGAAGTAGCTGCTTTTTAAGAGCAGGGCCCTGGGCTAGAGGCACCTCATAGGACTAAACTCAAGGAAAGCTCTAGTATGCCCCTTGGTCTCTGAAGAGGTTCAGGGGACTGCAGGGGAGTCTAGATAGGCAGAGCCTGAGTCTGCAAGTCTTGGAGCACCTTCCTGCAAGGGTGTCGTGCCTTCTGGCTCAGGAGGTTATTGCATAGCCCTAGAGTCAAGTTCTCAGCTGAGGCTCTAGGTGTGGGGAAATGGCCACAGAGTGGGAGGGGGTGGGATGCAAAGAGACAACAAGAAATGGGATGGTGGCACACTACCTACTGCCCTAATGTCAAGGGGAGTTGATAGGTTACTAGCCAAGGGGAAGCCCCTTTCCCACACCTGGTCCTTTCCCAGCCTGCCCTTGCTTTGCAAGTTGCCTACACCTCAGAGAAGGTTCAGAATCCCAAGACGGGTCAGATTGAATCTCAGTGCTTGGGTAAAAAACCCCACTGTGACCCAGGCACCCATGGCTCACGCCTGTACTAGCTACTCAGGAGGCTGAGATCTGAGGATTGCAGATCAAAGCCAGCAGGAAAGGCCATAAGACTCATCTCCAATTAACTACAAAAAGCCAAAAGTTGAACATGGCTCATGTGGTAAAGTGTTAGCCTTGAGTACCAAAGCTCAGGGACAGTGTCCAGACCCTGAGTTCAAGCCCCAGGACTGGCACAAAACCAACAGTAAATACTGTGGGCTGAGGCTCATTAACTGACAAACAGCAGCTGAAAGACTGATGAGGAGAATGTGGCCCTCCACCCCTCCACCCTCCCATCAGAAGGAGCAAGTGTAAATAGACACAGATTTCCTAGTTTCTCTCAGTTCACTGCCCATCCAATTTGGTCTCTGCTTCAGTCTGCATAGAACAAACCTGAGTTTTTCCTTTTATGTGCCACTCTGCTGCTGTCTGGCAGGGCTCTTCCTTACCTGACCTCCCAGCCCACTGCTGCCTCTATCCCTGGCCACTGGGAGGTGCTGCTGAATCGGGACCCATCCCTGGGCAGCTGGATCCCCTTGACCCTTAGACAAGACTGCCTAGAATGAGACAGAACTGGCAGGAATACTATGTCATGGAAACATGTGCCTAACCTATAAAGAAATTCTGTTTCCAATCATATGCATTGTACAGACACTGTTCCTAATGAGAGGAGTGACTTATTTTCATCATTCTTTTTAATTTGTTTTCTTACGGGTTTACGATTTTGAATTTTTCTTATTTGGTTGAAAGAAAAAATTTTGATTATATGAGCTGAGAGAGTTCAGCCTGTAAAAAGGATGTTGTGGATAAAATATGCAAATGAAGAGAAATATATTGTATAAATTCTATATAAAAATACATACCTGTATGTGGACTTTTTGCTCTTCCTCCTTCCCTTTTTCATGTGAAGATTATACTTGGAGTTTCTGCCCAGCCATGCCGATATCATGTATAGAGTTCCCGGGCCACAGGTTGATGGGAGTCACAAAGGCACTTTTCCCCCATGTTGTGTTGCTGAATTGTCCTTGAAGTCCTCTCCCCCCACCCTTCCTCAGCCAGGCCAGACCCTGGTGCAGCCCAGGCTCTCTGCACAGTGTTCCTGAGGCTTGCACACATAAATGGTGCCTGAGTGCCTGCCCCCTTCTCCAGCCAGACCCTTCAGTCCCACTGCAGCTGGCGGAGAGCAAGGAGACCAGGGCCTCATAGTTGGACCTGCTCCTCTTCTCACATTGTCTCACATTGTTTCCCTCTTGCTAGCTTCTGGACATTGCTGTGACTGTAGGGGAACCCGTTGCCAGCCTTCCAGTCTCAAGGCTTCCTCTCTTATGTCTCTGATTTACCTCTGCCCCTCAGATTCTTACCTGCAGCCAAGGACTGACTACCTTGGAAGTTAGAGACAAAAGAGGAGTCTGCCTAACTAGCGTTTGAGACTCATTTGTCCCGTGTCCTCTCAAAAGCCCCCAAAATCTTCTGGGGTACAGCCATCTCCCCTACCATTGCTGAGGCCAATCTCACTGAACCTCAGTGGCTGGCCATGGTGATACATTCCTGTTATCAAAGCTACAGAGGAAATGCAGTGGCTGTGTGTCATTTCCAAAGCCAATGGGAAGTAGAAGGAAGACTGCAACCCAGGCTAGCCTGGACATAAAGCAAGACCCTACCTCAAAAATAACCAAAGCAGGGCTGGAAAGGTGGCTCAGTGGTAGAGCGCTTGCCTTGCAAGTCAGAGGCCCTGGGTTCGATTCCTCGGCACCACATAAGCAAAAAGAAAAAAGCCAGAAGTGGCGCTGTGGCTCAAGTGGTAGAGCGCTAGCCTTGAGCTGAAGAGCTGAGGGACAGCGCCCAGGCCCAGAGTTCAGGCCCCATGCCCGGACCCAAAAAAAAAAAAAAATAACCAAAGCAAAAACAGGCAGGAGGCTTGGCTTGCCTACCTAGGAAGTGCGAGGCCCTGAGTTCAATCCCCAGTATTGAAAAAATACACAGAAGCTATTTATGTCTAAGCACAGGAGACAAAGCTTAAACAAGCCTGACTCAAATTCCCTGCTCCAGAGCCACAGCCAGGCATAAACACTCATCCACTCACCAAGTCACCCAACTCAGCAATATCCCCAGTATTCGGCCTTCATCAAAGAGCTAGTTGAAAATCCAAGCTCTCAGATCCACATCCGACCTGGCCCCGTTGTGGATACTTGCTCATCCAGTTGGTGTTTCTCACCTACTCTACCATCCCTGCTCACAGAATTCAAGTTTTTGCAGATGGCAAATGTCCAGATCTACCTGCTCAAAAGGAGTTGTGATGGGTAAACTCTGCAGTGTGCACCTTTTCTCCATAGGCCATCCCCAGTAAGAAGGCTAACACACTCTGGGAGGTTTGGGGAAAGGAAAGCAGGGGGATCATGCGTTCAAAGCCAGCATAGACTAAATAGAAGCTCTCTGGCACCAAAACCAGATGAAGATACCATAAGTGAAGGAACCACAGTGGGACATCTCAGAACATGGATGCCAAGTCCATAGTAAAGTGGCACAAAGGCTTACCATGGGAACACAAGGTAGGTTTAATGTCTAAAAATCAGTTAACATGATACACCATTATCACTGGGGGGCAATGGGGAACCTCACAGGGCATGCAGACAAAGCACTTGACAAGATCCAAAACCTGTCCGTGATGAAGAAATTCAATAAACTAGGGGGAAAAGGGACCTTGTACAGTTATCTCTGAAAAGCCCACTACAATCACAAAACAGGTAAGAGGGTGAGTTCCCAAGTCGAGCTGCATTAGGATGTTTATGCACACCACTTCTCAACATTGTGTAGGTAATTCTAGCCTTAGCAATTAGGCAAGAAAAAGATGCTATTGCCATCCAGTTTGGAAAGCAAGAAGCAAAACTATTTTCAATGACATGATCTTGTACATGCCAAATCTTTTAGCAAAAAGAAAAAAAACTACTAAAACACAAATGAGTTCATCAAAGTTGCAAGATACATAAAAACCAATTGTTGCCAGGCACCAATGGCTCAAGCCTGTAATCCTAGCTATTCCATGGGCTAAGCTCTGAAGATTGAGGTTTGAAGCCCAGGCAGGAAAGTCCCTGAGACTCCTATTTCCAACTAATAACACACAAAAAGAACAAAAAGAAAAATCTAGAAGTGGAGGTGTAGCTCAAGTGATGAGTGCTAACCTTTAGCCCAGACCCTGAATTCAAGCCCCAGGTGTGTGTGTGTGTGTGTGCATGTGCACACACACACACACACACACACAGTTGTAGCCAGGCACCAGTGACTCACACTTGTAATCCTAGCTACTTGGAATGAGATATAAAGATTATGGGTTTGAAACCAGCCCAGGAAGACAAATCCTAGAGACTCTTATCTACAATTAACCAGAAAAAGCCAGAAATAGAGGTGTGGGTCAAGTGGTAGACTGCCAGCCTTAAGCAAAAT